TGCAGTCACACTTTTGCATTCATATATTTTTCCATTGAAAAGATTGTTTGCTTGTTTCCTAAAGCTATGTTCCAGAGACGACACCATAAAAAATCTGAGAATGGAGGAGAACATCACAGCAAGCGTGCAAAAAATCAGCCAACGGGCCTTGATTTTGATGACAAGTGATCGCCACCTTGTCTTGGCACCCTTCCTCAATCCAGGATCAACTCAGCCAGATAAATTTTCGTTCAATTTTTCCCCCTCTCCTGCATTGCTCATTTATTTACTGCCCTCAGTGATTTTGACGCGTAAAACTTCTTAGCCGCTGGAATTGTAATTTTGAATACTGCGCAGACTAGCGCATATCAGTTACCCTGAAATTTTTTTTTGTATGTTTTACAAATCGTTTCATTATCTATCACTCAGATCCTTTCACTGCCCTCTCCTTTGTATCAATTTGTGCAGTACAGATGATTAGCCTGTAACTCTCAGAGAGAATTTACATTTTATGCTTTACTTTGTTTCCACGTTTCAGTTTTTTATCACTCTTTGTATGTTTCAATTTTTCACCATCATTGTTTGTGTTTTGAGTTTTCTTCATCATTATCGACAGCTCTTTGGCTTCTGATCTCGCCGTGTTTTTGTTTTCCCCATTGTATACTTCGGCATCTTCGCTTTGTCAGCTCCTGAGGTAACTTAAGCATTTTTAGATTGGAAGTTCTTCTGGTCAGTTTCATCTTTTTTTTTTCAAATAATAATGCGTTTTGGAAGAGCGCGCAAATAAAACAGGGCGCGTGGACTGCCTACGCGCAATTCCGCCGTGAAAGAAGGTGAATTTCCTTAGTCGGCCTTGGTTGTACTTTTTTTGTGTGCTAGACCGACTGGTGAGATGGAAATTTTTTCAAGGGAACTTTCTGTTTTGGCACAGGTTGCAGTCTTAGGGTTCACATTGTGCAGAGGTTTTTGCCTGCTGCTACAGCCACATGTGAACAGTGGCAGTTTATTTCTCACTATCCAGCTGACTGCTTGTTGCGAGTGATGTCCCCTTTGATGCATTATTTGTAATTTACACTTTTTATTAGTGATACATTTCTTATGAGTGAAAATTCTCTGAAAATGCTACTTCATCGTTGCTTCTCTGCGCAAATGAACAAGATGCTCATTTCAAATTATAATTGGTATCAGCCACCGAAATGCATCTGAGATCACATTTAACCTGCCAATAAAGTTCCATTTCTGCTCTTACCTACATGTGTTTGTTGGGCGGAAAGGAGCAGTACACGAAAGAATAACAAGTTTCCTCTTAGCAATCAATGGAAGATATCTGCTGATCTCGATGAGTAACACTGGGACTTTGCGTAGCAGTTTTGTGTAATTTCATGGAGCTTTCTTGTCTATGAGAAGTGAAAGCTTCGCTTTAAAAGACATTCAATCTTGTGCTAGACATCCGGGCACGTGACAATTTGGGGGACCTCTATGATAAATCACTCGGTTGTTAAACTGTTATTTTGGATTATGACGTATAGGGTCGAAGTACACAGACACATCAAAGGAGAAGCTGTTGGAGGAGCGATTTTCTGCAAAGGAGCGTTTGAGACGTTGAGTTCAGTGCGCTAGTTGTAAGAGAACCAAGGTGCGACTATGCGTCTTTGCATGATTTTATTCTGTCGAGAGATCGCTTGTACTGGAGTATAACTGCGGTATTGCAGTTTGATCATTTGATATGCCAGTACGCACGGCCTGTGTCTAAGCAGAAGTTCATCTTACGCTTGGTGGCTCACACATGAACAGCAAACATCTACAGGAAAGTAGTGCTTCCTGCTTTTTTCTGGTTGCCGAGTTATTTGGGTGCCAGAAATGCACAGAGCTAAATATTCACTTGAGGGATGCGTGATATCTAGGCGTGCTTTATGCTCAAATTGAAATTTTACGGTCGCATATAAACATAGAATATCCATGTAAACGTTATGGTGTGGAAAAAAGCCACTCCTGTGTGAGCTATGAACGCATATGTACGATATTTTGCTGAGTATCTTGGGTCACTTTTCGTGCGTTTTTGCCTATACACAAGCGCAAAAACACACATTATGGCGAACCATGTTGTGTGTGTGAGTTTGGGTGTAAGTGTGTGCGTGCGTATATGTGTGTGCGTGTGTATACGTGTGCGTGTGTGGGCGTGCGCGAGTGTCTATGCGGGTATTACAACCGGCAACAAAATAAGATTTGGCACTGAAGTTTTGCCGATGGTTTCATCGGCTGTGTGTGACCCCGGGATATAGCACCAACGTTCATGCACGACAGCGCCCCGAGTATGGGCGCGTGAGTTTTGGCGCGAGAATTGCTAATTCGGGAACCAGAACAGTTAGAAAATTGAGATTTCTGAAGGGTTGCTTCTTTTTTACCCAGGACTTTACCAAGAGAAACTTCAGGTTTATTTAATTTTTTTTTTTCAGCCAAAGAGGACTGAAGGTGGCCAAAGCCAGGAAACTAATGGCTAGAGATCGGTCATAGAGAAAAGTGAGATTCTGTGTAGTGTATTGTATTTTCATGATTTTTATGCGTTTTTGGCAGCTATGCAATGCAGAAAACACATATTGACGAGGGGTTGTCTGTGTGTGTATCTGTGTGTGCGCCTGTCACGGTTTTTCATCTCAAGGCCTATAAAAGCTACAGGGCTGAAATTTTAGGAAATTAATCTATGTGGGCGTACTGGCCCCAATCCCCGAAATGGACAGTCTTACCCGCGTGGTACCTGCTCACGGGCCTGCCAAATTTTTTTTCTAGGTAAGTCGCTAACTCGAGGACCAGAAAAGCTAGACAGCTGAAATTCTAAGAAGATGTTCCTTGTCCACGCAAGTCTCAATGAGCTCAAACTCAGTTGTCGGGTATACGTGGTATCCATGTACAGGCTCGCCAAAATTTTTCTCGGGTAAGTCGCTAACTCGAGAATTTGAAAAGCTAGAAGACTGTAATTTTCCCCGTCCACCTAAATCTTATTGAGCTTAAACCCAGCCCTCGGGTATGCGTGGTACTCACGTACGGGCCCGTGAAAGCTTTTTCCGGGTAAGTTGGTAACTCGGGAACCTGAGAAGCTAGAAGACTGAAATTTTGAAAGGATGTTTCCTGACAGTCCTAGCGGCCAGTCTGAAATGCTTTTAGCTAGAAACATCTGCCGGAAAAAACAGTTTTTTGTCGCTAACGGCAGACAAAAAACTGCGGGGAACCGTGCAAAAAACGCATCTTCGCACGGGCAGCCCGTACGTTGGCCAATTATTTTAATTATTGTAGTTGCGTTGTGTGTATTTTATGAAATCGATGCTTCCCCCCCTCCCCCTCTTTTATTGTTCTTAAGCGTTTTTACCGTGCGACTTTCGTTCACCACTGGTGCAATCATGCAACTTTTTTCAAGCAAGACTATCTTCTCCATCACTTTCGCCGTTTCATTCTTTTGTTGTCCCAATTTCGCTACAAATACGTCGTCATTCAGAAAGAACCAAGAAAAGTTAGTAAAAACTAAGCACTGGTGTAGTGCACGTTGGATATACCAACCAAGTACTTATGGACAAATGCATTATGATCGGTAATGAGAGTGAATTCTGAAACGTAAAACTGTGCAAGGGAAGACTAAATACAGTTCAGTGCATCTATCACACTATGCTTTTTGTTCAATTCGCGACAGCTTTTTATTCTTCAGGATGCAAAAGGGCCTAGGTTAAAGCCAGAGTCTATAGAGAGAGGCTCAAACTGATGCCCAATGAAAGCATGGATGAAAGTGAAATCCTATTTATTATGTAACTATCAGCAGACTGTAGCAACCAGACTGACCCTTGAAGCCTAACTGGTGAAAGTGCGATAAATAACAATATGAGAGGAAATAAAAATGAAATAAGACGTTTTAACATTGCGATATGACTTAGCCGTTGTAACGGTCGCAGTGCTTAAAGGAGAAAGAAAGGAGGAAAACAACCAAAAGAAGCAGAAGGAAAGCTGGTAATGGGACAGGATGAAGCAGGAGTGGGACGAAGAAGGAAGGGGAAGGGAAGAAAAAGAAGAAAATAAAAAGGGAAAGATTTAAAAAAAGAGAATTTAAAAAAAATGAAAAGGAAATTTAAGGAACAATCGTGAACCTCGATCATGCAGGTTTTGTTACTGCTAAAAAGCTTGTTGGACTTGAATTCAAGAACCAAAAGGGCGAGGTCCGTAATGTCGAAGTTCGTATTACTTCCCATGGGGACGCCCTAAACCTGGAGGAAGATGTAACCTCCAAAACGAACGCAAGCTTCACCGACGACACACCGAAGAATACTTTTTATTTCTGCTTGGGAATAAGCTACTCCAGAACGACGCGAGCGGGCAGGGTTAGCATAAAGTAATACATCGGTCGGGTATTGTGAAAACACAAGAAGAAGAGGCAGACGAGGGCGTCATAAGTGACATGATGAGGCTGTTTAGTGAAAAGAGTTGAGAAATAGGCGGAACAGAAGTGATTAAGTTGATGTAGGCTAGCACCTCGCTGGACACACATTGTACATGGCAGCGTAACTGCAAAGATC